GATGGGCAAATACCTAGGTATAAAATTTTTTATTAAGTTTATATATGATTAATAAAATGGATGCATATTATGTGTTTATTTTTATTTATAGCCCCCAATTTCATAATTTCAAATTGCAAATTTATGATCATGTCGTTATTTTCCATCGATTCACTTCAACAAGACATTCTTAGGTTTTTCAATTTGTCTTGCTTTTACTTTGATATTTTCTTAGATGTAACTTTGTTTTTTATCTTTTTTTTTCTTTGTTTTTGTGTTAAACTGTCGTTGAAGTCAATACTTAATAGATTTAAGTTATTTCAGTTTATCCTTTTGTAGCTTTTGTGATTATTCATTCAAGTTGAATTAATGGTAATTTGATGAAATCGAATGAAAATAATTGATAGATAAATGATGAAAAATTATATTTCTCTTTTTTTTTTGTTGATATTTTTTTTTTTGGTAGTAGGAAGGAAGCGATGTAGAACACGATACCAGTATAAACACTCTTTTTTATATATATTATATATAAGTATATAAGCGAATTTTTAAAGTTATATACATACATTTGTATATATACATATTTGCATTCGATACGACTTGTATATATGTATGAGTATAATGTGCGTGTTCTTGTGTCTCACAATGTCGTTTAATTTTGATATTCTTTTCCTATTATTTAGTGTGACATGTAATAATAAGATATTTCATTTTTATATTTTTGAATTAAATTGTATATAGGATGAAAGTGTAAGCGTTTAATAGAATTTTTTGAAGTGTTAACACAGTCAAAAATTATTTTCCTCCTTTTATTTTAGAGTTACTTACATTACAATATCTTAAATATCTACTAAGTAATAGTATATTTTTCAATTTAATACAGTTATATACAAAAATGTATAATCTGCTGTACACGTACATACTTTCATTTTATCTACATATTTTACATTATATCTTCTTATTTGTATATTTTTTGTGTATTTATACAAAGATTATGATCTTTAATATTACGCGTGGAGTTTTTCTGCCTCTTCATATACACGTACATGTGTAAGTATATGTTTGTGTTATACTGTTATACATCATTTAAAATACTATTTTAAATTGTTTTAAAAATTATTTTAATTAATTATAAAAAAAGAAATAAATAAATTATACTTTTTTCTTATGTCAATTTGAAAAGAATGTCATTTGTTATTTCAAAAAGACAAAATGGAGTTTAAAATTGACCATTAACAGTTTGAAATAATAATTTATGTCGTGACAAGAAAATTTTTTTTCCAACTCCATCCGCTCTCAAGTTATGGGCTCTTGAAATTTGTAAAATTTAAAATTTTGGCGCCTTACATTTTCGAAACTGCAAGCTGTTTCGAATTTTTATAAAAGCAGAAATCTAACCATGCAACCAAAATATCATGCCAACAAAAAATATAATTTTCAATCTTAACGAATTCCTTGAACCTTCGAATTCGACCAAACATGGTAATGCTTCTGCCATTTTTTTTTTTGTCTCATCCTAAATATATGCAATTATTTGAAATACCTTGGTATATGAATGAAAATATGTAATTTCAGTAATTTAGATCAGGGCTCGGAAATCAAACTGGGGGCCAATTTTACATTTTTTATCATATCTACAGAATGGATTAATGGAATTTCTTCAAATTTTTATTTTTTTTTAGTTTCTGATAATTACCGAAACTAACTTTTCAGGGAAATCGGGTGGCACAAAGCGAAGAAACACAAATTTTTGTTTTAACACTATTAAGAATGTATGTAATATTTTTAATATAGTTATATAAATACATACATACTTATGCATATCGCCATGCAATTTTACTTTTTCCTTTCTTGTATTTAAATTTTGATTATTTTTAAGTATTTGATTAAATGAATCTTCAAATAATCCAACATATTCTCTTTGATGTACAGAAAAAAGAATATAATAACATTATACTTCTCATTTGGTACACGTTCAGTTAAATAAAGCGCTTTAAATTTATTCAGTTGCTTTAAGTAATTTAACACTAGACGACTTTTACTTTAAAACAATTATCTGAAGGACTTCATAAATTTAAAAGTATAAAGAAGTGTACTTAATGCCGTAATCATGCTGCCGTTTGTGTTTGGCACACATGCTAATATTCATATGTAAATCATATTTAATTATATAGAACAAGGAAAAAAAGACACACTTCAGTTGTCCCTTAAACAAATTTCATATTTTATAACTTAAAAATTTTATGCAAACCGTTCAATCAAGTCTTGCATTACTAATTTAAGCATTCGATTGCATGAAACAGAGTGTTTCAGTGCCGTGAACGCAAACCAGTTATTAATTATTTTTATATTTAACCCTTTTCTGAAGGTACAAAGAAATTTTAAATTCATTTTCATTTTATAACGTTCTTTTTGGGCAACAATTGAGGTAAAAGGTAAGCAGAATGGAGCATTTCATGTCTAACCTACAGATGATTTCAAAACCGTAAGCATGTAATATAAAACTCTTGGGCTACCAATTACTATAAAAATAATTTTTCTTACAAAATAAGCAGTTCATACATATATACATATATAAATATGTATGTTTAACAAAATTATTTTTAGGAAGCGTTTTTTTCCTTCATAGAAAAAATATCCTTTTTTGCTTTCGTAGAACACTTTGCATAATAACAATATGCTTAAATTTCCATTCTAAAAGAATTTCCAACTAATTTGAATAATAATAAGAATTTCACTTTATTTTTCAAGTTGAAATTTTTTTCCTTTTTAGTTCAATACCAATTATTTCAAGCGTGTAGCCTACTTAAAAATAAAAAATTTCAAAAATTACGCGTGTTAATCTGCAACATGAATGAAATTAATAACAATAATTTTCATATATTATGAAAAATACAATAATTTTGGATTAGAAAATCAACATAAGAATGGTTTTAACCTACATTTTCAGAGAAAGTTTCAATGGTATAAAATATTAGAAAGTAAATTTCAATTCCATCTAATCCGAGAATGAATATCAGCTCTTAATCAAAGTAATCAGAAATATTAATCGCATAACATTTATGTAGAGCTTCTTAAAACCATTTCTCTAAAACTATTCTATTAATTTTTAGTAAGAATGGACTTGAGAATGTTCCATTATTGTACCTATATAAAAAAGTGCAACAAAATGTAGTACAGAGAAAAATATTTGAACCTGTAACAAAAAGACTACATATTTATTAGTAGATTTTGTATATAACCAAATTTCAATTGAAAATCTTTAAAACTATAAAAAATTGAAGAATAAGAAACATTCCATAAGAAAGAGTGTATCTCAATTCTTAAAGTGGATCTGTTAATTACAAATTTTCGCAACAAGTTTAAAGAAATTTTGACATACACGCCGCAATTGAATATAAGAATAATGTCTACTACATGGTCTAATTAATTTATTATAATTTTCTATTTCATTTTTCATTTTTGCACATGCGAAAACTACGTCAATCTATTCTATGGGTGTAAAAAACTGTGTAAATAAAATTAATTTTTGGTTAAACAAATAAAAAAACAAATTTTTTATTGACCTCGTATTCTTTTAATTCCAGATTTTTATATAATATTTCCCAAAAAAACGTCATATGAAAAATTTATGATATTCAATTTTGCGGTCAAAAAATTATTAAAATTTAAACTTTATTTTATGGTTTTCATTCTACATATGTATAGTTATAGAAATTGATAATTTTGTATGTTTTGTTCACATTTTATATTTATGAGGACATTATATGTGTAGTACGTAACATAATATGCACATGTATGAAAATAAAATTTTAAATTGTCATAAAATTAAGCAAGCGAAAAAAGTCTAGACTATAAAGTCGTTTTATTCAAAAAAAAAAGTAATTAAGAGATTTGTAAATATGTGTACAAAGCTATTCCAAAATCTTAAACAATTTTAAATTGATGTTAATATAAATAAAATTCAACACTAATTCGAAAATAAAATATTATTAGTGTGTAATTAATTTTTTGTAAATTTTATTGTAATTAGATTTAATTTCCAGAACAACAAAAAGTGTAAGAAGTAAGAAATATGATTACGATTTTAATCTGGTTGTGAACTTCTTCGCAAAACTGTGACTGTTTTATAATTAGGAAATAGGCATTTTAAGAAAATCTGGTCTTAATTTGATATTCATGTTTCTATCGCAAAATCTAACTATTGGCTTAAAATAGGCTGGTCGTTAGATTAGGTTTTTCTAAAAACGCAGCATGCATTGATTGACAAACTGCAAAAACTTATTATTTATTTTGTAGTAGTGAAAAATTTTTGCAAATCTTTAGCTAAGTTATACTTTTCTAGTACTAAGAAGACATAACTTTATTCATTTGGATTCAAAAAAGAAGACGGAAATTTCATAAACTATAAAACTACAAATTTATTTTAAAGAAAAAGTGAAGAAACGTAGTGAAGGTTTCAAAAAGAAGAAAAAATCTTACGACCAATTTTAATAAACTGATTGTGTCTATTTTTTCTCTATTGTACCTATTTTTAAAAAAATCAAATTTATTTTTAAAATAGAATTTGCAATTATAAAATTTTTAAACATGTGAAATAAATATGAAAAAATATCCAACATCGGGATTACACAAGTCTATTTAAAAAGTCAAAAATAATATCCTTTTCAATTTTCTTTTTTTACATTTCTTCTCACATTTTGTCCTTGATTCTGAATTCTTCATAAATTTCTTAATGTAATAATTATTATTCGCTATATTATTATTCACGATGACAAAATGAAAATATTTACATTTATCAATTAACTTAACCAATTTGCATTTTCAATAACATTTGGATTATTTAAGGGAAATATAAAATATACTCAAGTTAATTGGAAAATTTAAAATTTCCAAAATTAAATCCGACATATCATCTCATTAAGTTACAACAAAGAATATTTTATGTTTTTAAAAATTAATTATTTTTTTTTCATATATATTTTCAGAATATTTTGAAATGTTTACAAGGCTGTTTGATTTTTTTGCAATTTATTACACTTTGATTACAATTGAATTTTTAATTTTTTTAATTATAAACGTTTAAAATCATACTTTGCTTTAAATATTAATTGTAAAAATTTTTAATTTTTTTTTTTTTTTTTTTTGAAATAAAAAAGTAATTTAATATATTTTTAATATTATCCATATAAATGATTCTTATTTTTAATTTTTAAATTATATTATCAGTTTTTATTTTAAATGTTTCATATTTAAATTGTATAGATATAATATGCATGTAATTTTAATTTTTTTTAAAATGGCCGGTATCCATTTGGATTTGCTGAAATTATTGTCTTCTTTAATATATCAACAATATGATTCCATTTTTTGGACTCCGAAATTGAACACAATTCTTCCAAATATTCACGATTTAGTTTATCATCATACATTTTTTGTATAATCTTCATCATATTACCAAAACGTAAGTTTATATAACCATGCCATGCAGTGAAATTACATACCTGTACGAAAATTATATAAAAAAAAATCAATAATAATTAAATTTAAACTATTAAAATTTTTTAATTTTATAAAATTGTTGTTTAAAATACTTATAAAAATGTAATATTTTCGAAATCATTTCTATGTTCTTTACAAAAAAAAAAAAAAACTCTAAAATTAAATTATGCACAAGAAAATTTGTGGCAATACTTATAAAGGAAGACTGCCATAAATCAGAAGAAAGGACAGTAAAACTCTATCGACAGACCATAAAATTACAATTTAAGTTTTCTTCATAGAAATTGCTAATTAAAATTACGTGACGCAGTAAAAATATTCCAAGTTAAGTATAAAATGCCCTTTTTTTCTTCTTTATTTGTTATAAAATGACATTTTTAAATACAGAATCTGTTAATGAAAACACCATTTTCTAGATTTTCTTCTTAAAAAAAATATTTCTTAAAAATACTAAAATTTAAATTTTTTACAAAATTTTTGATATTCTGACCTTATTTTCCTAAAAAGTTATAAAAGAATAAATCACAAATGAAAAATATCCACTTGTTAGCTTAAACAATAAGAACTTAGAAAGTTCATTAGGTTCTTACAAGAAAGAGATTATTTTTAATTGATGATTACAACGGGGTTGAATTTAACTTTGTTATAATTTTTTATGCAACAATTATGTACTTTCAAAGACGAATATTACAAAATGTTAAAAAAATTTGGATCAAACCAGTAGTTTCTAAAATAACACTTTTGAATTGAAAATTTTGTAGAAAACAATCGTCTAATATTTGAAATACGCACCTACATAATTATTATAGCAAAATTATCATGTTATGAAAATGAAATTGCATACTTTTCGGGGTATGAACTAAAATTAAGAGGAATAATGATATTAGTTAGTTTTTTACTTTTATACAAATTTAGAAAAGCTTGTAGTACCGGAAAAATAATAAAACGAAATTCGAAATTTTGCTAACTTTGAGATTATAAGCATCTGCAGCTAATTGCCTAAGAGAAAATCGATATTTTAAACTTGCAAATGTTTTAAACAGTTAATGTTTTGCGATTGGAGAAGCAAGAGAATCATTTTTCTATGTTTGAGAAAACTCAAAAATGTTTGTGGTTTCGATACAATAAATTTCCAACCAATCGTATTCTTAAAATTTTGATGGTGGATAACTTTTAAGACGAGAAGATAAGTAAATATTTTTTTCCCATAGAAATGTTTTCCGAAAAAATAAATGTATATAAAATTCCTATCTATTTTTAATCCATAAAATTTCAGCTTATCTCAAAGGATGTACATGTTTTGTGAACAGATGGACGAAATGAAACTAATAAACAGATTTTTTTCCAATTATACTGGAAATGTTCTAAAACAATTAAAATACGCTTTTCTTTCCGCACTAATATCGATCAAGATTGTTGACCAAATTGGTTTATTTATTTTTTATCACAAACGTTTTATACAAATCTAGTCCTTTATTACAAAATTGTATCGCTTTTTAAAGTAAACCTGAGAGATACAACCGAAAACCAAATATTTTATTAAAAAAAAATAATAATTTTTTTTTTAATTAACAAATTTTTTGTTATTCTTCTCTTGTATCTTTTACGGCCTATAATTAGGCTATTTATTAACCTGTAGGGTATTTTTAAATTATTATTTATTTATTATTTTTTGAACAAACTTTTAAACACAAAATAATTAAAAACAAAAAAAAAACTGAATGAAAGCAAATAATTTTTTCAATTTAATAAATAATTTATTGAAATAAATTTCCTTGACTTTTTTAATATTTATTTATATAAAATTTTTATTTATATTTTCCAAGTTACAATTTATATACAAAGTGTTCTATTATATTCTGTTTTTGAAAACAATTGAGTACAATTATTTTGTTATGATGACAGAATAAAAAAAATTTAAGTTTTGGATATCGACTTTTCATGCAGTGAAAGTTTTTGGTCGCAATAATCAATTTAATTTGGGCAGAATTTTAAAAGCCGTAATTAGGGAAACGAAAAATTAATTGAAAAATACTCACTAATTTGAATGAAAATATAAAACCAAAACTTAAATGTCTTAAATTTAGTTTCAAAATTGTTAAGAAAAAAATTAGAAACGTCTCATTTCTCAGCTAATTCTTGTGTTATTACAGTAAAGAGGATTCTTACAACAAATATATTAAGGCCCTGAACTACACGCAGAAAATAAAATTAACAATGAATGCCTTACCTAACTGTAAATTCTTTTCGGGGATCAGTGACCTGCGACAATTTTTTTGTTTGCCTGTTACAACACTTTTTCTTGCTATTTATTAAATTTATTGTGTATTTAAATAAAATTTTAAATTAATTGCAACACTTTTTCTTGCTGTACTTTTCAAAGCAAATGGTTAATTTGAAATAAATATAGCTCACAATATTGTTTTCCTATGGAAACAAAATTAAATAGAAAGAAATCTGATATGGCCAGCAAAGAACCGAAAGCAAATTGCAACAAAGTGCTTTCTGGTTTTGAAAATTCCTTTTTTTCATATTTTAAGAACGGTACTAAACTTTTAGTAAACATATGAAATCTTCTTCGACTGAAAAGATTTTCATGAAATTTTATATGTAAGTTTGTTTTAGCTATGTCACGAATTGACTTTCGGGATATATCAGGCCTTGGGAACTGGATTTTTGGCAGGACAATTTTACATTTTTGCCCATACAAAGAAAAATATTCAACCAATTTTTTTGAAATTTAATATTCAAATTTGGAGTGCTAAAAAACTTAAGATATAAATTTTTTGGAACGATTGGGGAAACCAAACTGTTACATGTTACATTTTTTACCATATATGCAGAACGGGTTGATGGAATTTCTTGGAATTTGATATTGAGTTCTCGTTGTTACCGAAACTAACTGGCGACCTTTTCAGCGAATTCGGATAGCACAAAGCGGAGGCTCTACTCAGAGCCAAATTTACATTTTTCTAGGCATGTCAACTAAAAACTTACTTACACCATAAAAATTGAAAAGAAATGTTTAAAAGGCATTTTTATAATCTTCTGTAACAATTTCACTTAACTAGACAATACGCGTTGCGGTCGGTTATGTGCTGACCACTTCAGATTTTTTTTAATTGTCACCATCATTTTTCAACTTCAGTATTTTATTAAAATACTTGTAGAAATCAGAAAACTTTTGATTTCATTTTTATCTATAATATTAAAGATAAAAAGAAACGTGTGTGTGTGTGTACATAGTATCTTTTTTTTTTTTAAAAAACGATTTTCGCACTTATCCAAAAAATGGATTTGTCGGAATTATGATCTAGAAAAAATGTACATGCTTCCCTGTACAAATACCATAAAGGCTGTTTTTAAATTTTTCGAAGCTGAGAAATAACAATTTATTTTCTAGATAACTAAATTCAATATTTTTAAGGCCTAACTAAGTAAAAACAATTGTGAGGGTCCCATTTTTTTAAGGGACACTTGTGATGCTTTCACAAAGAAATAAATTTTGGTTTGAATGCATTTGAATGCAAATTAAAATCAATTACAAATTTCGATACAGTTTTGTAATAAAAGAAATTCATCTTTATAAATTTCATATTTTAAAAACAATAACTGCCTAAAATGTATTCCTTAAATCTAAAGCCCGTAATTACAAAATTTAAAGTTTTCTTTTAAAACTTTACAAGTTTTCTAATCAAATTAAACTTTTATGAAACAATAAAAATTTCAATTAATTTTATTTTTCTTTGCATTATTACAATTAACTATTTTTTATTTATTTCGTCACATGTTCTAAAATAAATTTCATGACCTAAAAAATTTTAAATTATAAGAGAAAACAAAATTTATTCCAAATTTCAATAAGGCAAAAACTTGTGCAAAACTAATTAATTATTTTGAAAAAATATTTTTTCCCATACCTATTAAGTTAAATTTTAATTTATGTTATAAAACGAAATTAAAAATAGAAAAAAACAATGTAGGCAATGAAACCTTTGGTTTCGAAAAAAGCGAATTTTCATTAATTCATGAATTTAAGTTTGGAAATGGTACTTATATAGCACCTTTAAATAAAAATTAAAATAATTTGCGAATTAATTTAGTCGAAGCATGAATTAAATATCTGAAGCTGAAATATCGAAGAAGCTAAATTAAATATTTTAACCCAATTGTGGTGAAAACTATGGAAACTAATGAAAGGAAAAGACATTTTGCTTAGTAAAATAAGACACATATATCAGTTAATTTTTATCGATATAGAATAATTTCGTAATAATTTTTCTTCTGTAGAATATAGAATACAGAAGAAAAATTATTACGAAATTTGGCGGACATCTACTTTAATATTTAGTTATAGTTCCTTTTGGTAAAAGAAAATAAATTGCTAGCCTAACATATTTACAAAATTTACAATTCGAGTACAGCTTCAAGAGCTATAATTTGATAAAAATTTTCACTTTCTAACTAAACGAAATGATAAATGCAGAGATAGAGTGAAATTAATAGGCAAATTTTTTTAAGAGTATTTTTTACAAATGTGCCTAAAAACAATTTTGATTAACTTTATTAAATGATACAGAACAGAAATCGGATACTTAAAATGCTAATATAAAAGAATATGAAGGAAAAAGGAAAACATAAATACGCCTCCTTTATAGTATGCAAATATTATTTGAATATTAAATAAATATGAAAGTTAGAAACAGGGTGTTACACAAATAAAATCAATCTTATAAATAATTGAATATGAAAAAGCAATAAACAAACGAGCTGTTAGAATAAAGCTAAACTAACATTATAATTTCAAAATTTTGGATTTAATAATATGAACTCCATAAATTACGCGAAACCCAATTAAGATCATACAAAAATTACAAATTTTTTTAGAAGAAAAACCGAAATATTTCTGATTTCTATTTCTACTAGTTTAGAAAATTATACAGTTTTAGAAAAAATTAAACTATTTAAAAACAATTTAAATTAAAATATTTTGGTACATCAAATACACCCAAATCCGACAGGTTGTTATATGTATAGAATACAACATCAACGACTATAACTTGATTTATTAACGACGTTAACGATCTGATATTGCCAATTTTCTAGTAATTTCATTCGCAGCGCAGTGAGTTGCACATTTAATGTATTTTGATAAGAATGATAATACCACTTTATACTGCTTTTTTGTTTTTACAAAAATCATAACTATTTTTTGAATTTTAGAATTTAATTTTCTGTTTTAAAATTAAAAAAAAGTTTTCAAACACTTTGTTTCTAATAAAAAATATTTTTATACCTTTATTTAATTTAAACTAATTGTATTTACATACCTACAAAAGTATGTATGTATATGTATATATAAAAAAAAATTTGAATAATTTAAATCAGAAATAAACAAAATCTATAGAAATAAAATTTTTACATATAATAACCATCGATTTTACAAAAAAAATGCATATTTATAAATTGTTATGCATATTATATGCTATGGTGCTTATATTGTTAAAATTTTTATGATTTTATTCATTGTATAATAAAATTTTTTTTTTTGAATTTTAATTAATAACCCGTAAAACGTATATGTATGTATACATACATATATAAATAAAAATATATGTATATGGTTATGCTTTATTCAAAAAATTTAAAAAATATATTTATATAATAATTTTAATTTAAAAAAAATAGAATAAATATTAAATTCTATAAAAAATGAAAACTTTTCTACCTTTGAATCGTTCATATCAATGAATTTACTAATTTCCATGTAAATATTATCAATAGAATCCAATTGTTCGGGCGTAAAGATTGTATTAATTGTTGAATTAATGTCCAATAAATTTGATGGAGTCTTTTCAAGGATCATTTGCTTACATGTATAGACACCTTTTTTAACTAATGCATCCAATAAAGTTGTCTTTTGTTTATCCATATTTCTGTACCAAACAAAAAAAAAATACAAAAAAATTAAATAGAATTTTTAAAGTAAAATAATAAAACACTTTAATTTGTTTATTTTATTCTACTTTCATTTTTCAATTTAAATTTAACCGAATAAAAATTTTAATTAAATTTACTAAAAAAAATAAAAAATCCATTTTTATATTTAATTTTGAGCAACACATGTTGTATTTCTCCGTTATAAATCACAAAACAATAAAATTAATAAATAATAATTTGTACATAATAAAAGCAATATGTGTGATATGCACAATCATATAGCTGCAATATACATATATAAATAATATATCCTTATTTGTATTTACTAGATATACATATGTATACTGTATATACATTTTCTTTTTTTTTTTAATTAATAACACGTGTCCTTTATATTATTAACATAAATATTTTTAAAATGTTATTCACCTGAAGCGTTAAATATTTCTACAATTTAATTAACATAATTAATTAATTATTATTCTGTGCACGAGTTCTTCTCTTCAAAAAAAAATTTTGCAATTGCAATTAAATAATTTATTGGTTCACTTTATACGATATCTACATATAATGTATTGAATGCTGATTTTTTTTTATAATTTATTATCAGTTTAAGGAAAACATTTTGGTATATATAATATTTATTTCTTAATCATTTTGGAGATAATGAAGATTAATTATAAATTAATTATAAAATTATTGGAAACCAAAACAAAAAATCTGATTTGGTCAGCACATAAGCGAACGCAATGTGTATTGTATAGTTAAGTGAAAGTGTTTCAAAATACAATAAAAATACTTGTTAAATAATTCTTTCACGCGGTCGATCAAAGCTTATATATGAAATTTCAAGAAAATCTGCTGAATAGTAAAACAGACCCGCTAAAAAGTGCAGTTCCCGGGGCCTGATATATCCCACAAGTTGACCAATCCGTGCCACAGTCGAAATAAGCTTACAGATAAAATTTCATCAAAATTGGTTCAGCCGAGATACACGCGTACACACAGATCGACAGACCGACAAACCGACAGGTTGCTAAAAATAGTTTATTTACACTTCCCTACTATGGAGAAGTGCATTTCCACCGAAAACTCGATATGCAAAATTTGTTGCCATCACACAACCTAACTATTGTATACATAATACGGTCGGTAAATATATTACTTATTCATCAAATATAACTCTTAAAAGATTCATGTTTTCTATTACTTAAACGACATTCTATTAATTTAACAATATAACTAAAACTATACTTACGTTTTGATTTTAGCAGCATCCGGTCTCATATCAGTCTTCATGCCATAATAAATCAATAATGCATTCGTATCAGTTTCAGTTATAACTTTATTTGCACATTCAATAATTTTTTTGCAGTGTTCAATTAATTTTTTCACATCACTGGAACTACCATCATCTGTTGAAACATTTTTCATACTCTTATGAAATGTCATTGGTAAATTCGATTTATATTCTGTTGCAACTTCAAGACTTTGCATAAACACTGTATGAACTGGTAAATATTTTGGATGATTTTTTAAAACTTCATTGTAAATTTCTTCAGCTTGTTCAAGATCTGAAAAAAATATAAAAAAAAAGTAACAATTTTTATCAAGTTTATCCAAAGTCTTGTATCCCAGATGTTGATTTACATGTACAGAAACAACGAAAAATGAATTGAAATTTAACTATTCTTTTGCAAATACCCAATTCTGATATTAAATGAACAGATATAAATTCATAAAAGATAAATCATAAAGTATAAAATTATGATTGAAAAAATTTATGAATTCAAAACTCAAATTGAATATTATTATAAATAGGTTAAGTAGAATAACGCCTGTAGTAAGAATTGAAAATAGTGAAAAACGCAATTATTATATATTGACTTTGGAAAGCCAAAAACAATTCCGGACGAATTTCTTGGGATTTCCAAGTATTCCTTTTTGAAGTTTTATATGGCATGTTGGAGCCATTGCGTCAATCATGTTGGAATCGTTGCTCTCAATTTCTGTATTTCTTCCTAATCTTTCAAACGTAAATTACTTTAAAATTAATAAATTACTAAATAATAATGACAAAAGTAGTAAATTAAGAAATATGTACTTAAGTACTCGTAGTGTCAACAACTTTTTCTTAAGTTTCTAAATCAAAATACTAGAAGAAACTTTAATTTTGCTTTATAAAAGTCTGAACGACTTTGAAAGCTCGTTTAATCAGTTCGATTGGTTATAATCAGCATACCAGTGGTTTCCGAATTTTCAACCCGAATTTTATTCGTTGATTCGACGAAGCTAGTACTTTACAAGTTTTCATTGATCAAAGCTGTTTCAAACATTTTTTTTAAGAAAATCCTTAAATAATCGAAAATTCTAAAATTCTAAATTCATTAAAATTAAAAATTCTTACAAAAAAATCTTAAGGATTGATTTTGCTTAAATTTTAGTCGTGGAAAATTTAATTGACATCAATTCTCCTAACTAAAACGTTTATATAATACGCAAAATTTGTTACTTTGAAGTCTTAATTCACTGAAAATTAGTTCATCAATCTAAAGCCAAACAATGGGCTACTCAAAAACAATTATTTTTTTATATATTAAATAATCTTTGATACCAGACGCACATTCAGCTTAACATATTTTTATTTTATGTTTATTTGCAATCTTTGCGACATTAATCTTCCGTACTTAATATAAGGTGTTCTGAAAATAAACTTAAACCGATACATTAAAAAAAAAATTATATGTAACTTACCAACTTTTGTAATTTGAGAACATAGAAAATCTCTCAAATTATCCTTGTATTCATCGGCTTTAGTTTTACTTTTTTTTTGGCTAGCATCACTATTTCCTCCATCCGAAGTATTAGAATTACCATTATTTCCATTATTATTGTTAGGCGATGTCGTATTCGTGGAACAGGCAGTGTTATCCTTATCAGTGTTATTGTTGCTTTTCAAATTATTCGCATTGTTATTGTTTGAACTAGTATTACTGTTGCTGTTATTGTTACTAGTGCTTGTATTATTAGTGCTACAGGAATTGCTATTACCATTACTTTTTTTTGCTGCTGTTGGCATTCCATCCGGTAATATATATTTAAATGATTGTGTATCAACTTTTCGACCGTATTCATCTTTAACAAAAGTTAATGTACCATTCAGCCAAGAGCATGGTATTGGTAAACCAGCCTTCTGTAAACGTTCGGTCTGTAATGGGGCTAAATAATGTGTTTTCACAATATCTGCTTTTAATGGTGGTGAACTTGTTGATGCTTTCTTTCCATATACAACAGCTTGATTATAATGATCATAGAAATCCATATTAATAGCATTAGACAATTTGAATATAGCTAACATATTAATTTCTTGAATTTTCTCTAACAATTCTTTTTTTTCATGGCGCACTTGTAAGCGTATTGTATAATCACCTTTCTCTAATTTATGATATGTTGAATTAGAATAAGCATCACCATTTGCAATCATCATTTTATTTGAATCAAATAACATCCAAAATTGTGATTCAAATTCCGATTCATAAAGGACGGTCGATAAAATTGGAGCATGTAAAGCAATTTCTTGAGCTTTTGTTACATGTAAATTATATACTAAAAGATTTTGGTATATTTGTCTACCAGATGGAATAACATCACGTTTCTGACTTAAAGGTGATATTTTTGTTTCAATTGGTTTTAAAATTTGTGTAGCGGTTTTAAATTGTAAATTTGGTGATATTTCTTCTGTTGTTAAGCCAGTTGTATCAATGCGATGAATACCATTTGCTGCTATCATTGTATCTATATAATTTAAAAGAATAAATAAAGGAAACAATTTTTAAAACTTTTATTATATTTTTTTTTTTTAAGTTATTTTATAATTTTTGGTTTACAGGTAGAAATCAAAAATTCAAATGAATGTAATAAAAATTTTGAGTACAACTTCCTTTTTCGTATTCAAGGATTTACATATGCTTAAAAATCTCTATTATTTACTACATAATTTTTTCCTAGAAAAAAAAAGTATTATGTATTTGCAAATATTAAGTTTCAAACAATCTGGGAAATACATGTAAAAAGGATTAATTTTTATCTTTTGTTATGGAAAAATTTGTTATCAAGGATTTCGTAATTCAGAAATTTTTAAATTTTTACATTGTGTAATTAGAAATTTCTGTTTTTTTCTTTTAAAATGTAAAAATGTAAAAAATTTAAATTTGAAAACCAAAATATTGTACAAATATATAAAAGATAGGACAAATAAAATCTCTAAAATATCAACTAGAAAAAACAACTTTTTATTTTAACGTTATGTTAAATAAGTTAAATTTGGTTTGTAATATTGAGATGGAAATTTTTGAATACGTACTAAGTCTAACTGAACGTGTCTCTATCTGACTGTGTATTATAAACCTATCTCTCTAACTTCTAGTATCTGTCTTGATCTTAATTTGTAAAAAATAAATTGTAATGTAGCACTGTTTTCAGTGTTGAACTTTGAAAAATTCTTCAATTCAAATTTTTTTCATTAATATGCCAAAATAGATTAAACTCGTTATCTCGCTACTTTTTTAAGTTCCTAATTTGAAATATGCTTGTGATTTGTTTACAATTAATAACCAATTTTAATTTTTCGAAAAAAGTTCATTTTCCGAATTTATTTAATTATTGAAAACTTAAAAGTTTTAATATTTTGAATTACATTTTCAACATTATGTATAACTTCCTCTTTTTTGCATTTAAATTATTTTCATATGATGTGTTTTTTCCCTAATTACTAAAAACTTGTCAATTAGCACTTTGATAATGACCGTGAAATTGAAATTCGTACGTATTAAACTATTAAACAAATCAACTCGAAACGTTTAAATTATATTACTCAGTAATTGTATTTTTCTTGATTTAAATTCAAATTTCGAGGAAAATATAAATATGAATATGTACATATATAATTTACAAAAGCATAATAACATGCATTTAACAAATTTACAATGACAAAGACAAAGTGGAAGAGATTTTAGCGCTCTATTGTCCAATTTTCCATTTCAAATGGTTGTACGTACTCGATAAATTGATTTTAAATTAAAAAAAATAAGTTTTAGAAAAACGAAAGCTTACCGGAAGACATCCTTGTACAACAATTCCAATAATTATATCTAAATTTTACATCATCTAAAAAACACAAACTTATAAGAGTAACTTGTACAATTAACGTGAATCTCATATTTTTTTTTTGCGTAAAAATATATTGCCTCTTCAGGTGCTCAAGTATCTTTAAAATCGTATTTATTTGCTTTCAGTGTAAGAATTCCAATTTTCATATGAATGCATAAAACATTAGAGTCACACTTTTTGTGCTCTATATGAACTTTATAAAAACTGGTTTTCTTCTCAGAAGAAAGCGAAAATTTTTTCATCGTTGATGGCTAAATATATGATTTAAATCGATAACAACTGCAAAAAGTTGTTAACTGCTAAGATCTAAGACAACATAACTTCAATATTATAATACCAACTTTAATAATTTTTTACTATTCTCCATACCAAAGCGAACAATTAACCGCTAAATACCTATTGCAGAACAGAAAATTTTATTATAAAATGGTGCATTAAATTCGGATTGGCTTGGTTCTTTTATTGCAATATATTGCAAAAACAACACCCAAATATTTCAAAATTTGAAACAATATTGAAGCGACTAGCGACAAACTTTAATTCGTTGTTTATTAATCCTCAACGAAAACCAAAAAAAGAATATGTAAATGTTTTCCTCTTTTAGTAAAATAATTAATATCTTATAACATTTAAATTTATTTATTGAAAAATATTTATTCACGTTCAATTCCCTGTTTACCAACATTAAAGAATAATAGTCTATCTTTACTCACAAAAGAAACTTGATATTGAAAGAAGGACATGACATATTAAGGATACTTACAGTACAATTAAAATTCTTTTCAAAAGCGAGTTATAAATGGCATAGCAACAGCCAAACAAAATGAAGCGAATTCCAAATGATAAAATCTTTTAAGTGGAATTTGTTTTGTCCTAATGAGCTGAGAAAAAATTCTTAAAATGTTGTTATCTACTTTAGCACATTTTCACAAAAACTCAAAAATATTTGCGTATTAGTTTCACACTATCTGCCTGTCTGTACAATAAACTATACTGTATGCTTCCAGATAAAAAGCAGATATTTTGCATTAAAATCTTATTGAAAGTACGATAATGTGAAAACAGTAATATTCCAAAACAAAATTTTTACATCTGCCCTTTTTTTATTCAAATTATAGCACCAAAAGCCCTGAAAATTTCTACAATTTACTGCATTCACAGTGAAAGAAGTTCTCGAATCCTGTACACTTTGAACAGGTTTCAAATTGTCAAATTGACAATTTGAAACAGTCACTTAAAATAATCTCTATCTACTAATTTAGTGTTGCCACAGCAAACGTCTCCTATATCAAACAAATACGATATCCTTAACTAAAGTAATCAGCCATCTAATTTAATCTTCATGTCCTTATAACAAAATATGTCCTTTTTTTTCCTTTACATTATAATCAATAGAAATTTCAAAGACATTGAACACAAATAACTCCAGATATTTAGAATTAAGCCCTAAATTTAAGTTTTTAAGAGGAAAATTTGCTATTTTACAAACCATCAGTTTAATTGACTACAATTTTTTTTTACTAATTAAGACAAAAAAAATCATTCCAACTCATTGGTACTATTACAGGTAGTTTTTAATTCTTTCATTTAAAATTCCAAACATGAAAAAAGAAAAAGAGAAACAAACTTTTCAGATTTTCACTCCTCAAAGTTACAAAATTATCTTTTATTTTTATTTTCATTTCACTTTAAAAAAAATAAAAATCCGTGACTTTTCGTAATTTTCCCGACTTATTTTTATTAGAATTTTGTATAAGTAATAAAGATTACGCAATTTTAATCTCAAATGCAACTTTTTTCGCAGTTTACTCAAATGGGAATTTTAGAAACATTTGAGGAAAACATACACAGATTGGAGGCAAACATACTTTTTTATATTTCTGTTTTCCGTTACTAGGTGAATAAAAATTTAAGGAATTTTCACTTCAATTGACTGGTTATTTAAGCGTAGATTGTTTTCAGGCCAAGTTGTTAAGATATTCGAAGTGAAAAATTAACTTTTATATTTGAAAGAGTAATGTATGTTATTTTTATTGGCAATATTCGCCCAGAATGGGATTTTCTGTAAGTCAGAGGAAAGGGAAGGGTTTTGTATTCAAGTGTATTTTTAAAACTTCAAAGGTTCTGATTGGACATAATCATCCACTCGAGTTTTCTATTTTATAAATGAGGTTTTTTTAATAATTTTTACTTTTAAAACTAAATTTAAAATAAAAAAATAACAGATTTCAATTAAATTTCTTCCAAATCAAAATTTTTGAATTTAGCAAAAATTTATTCCTTCAATTAAACCCGAAATAAATTTTCATGGAATTTCAATAATTAGAGGAGAAAGAAGCTCACCGTGAACAAAGAAATTATATTTTAGAAGTAATGAAATTTTCTTGAAATTCTTTAAAAAAACATTTTGGTAGATTAAACTTTAATCCTTCCCATTTTTTTAATTGATTTGTAGCTTCAAACTCGGGAAAATAAAAAGAAAAACAAATAAAACTATGGTTTTCTTTTTCCCTCAAGAAGCTTTATACAACTCCATTCTTTTACGTTTGCTCCTTTCTTCGTTAATCCTTCAAGTTTCAATTTATATGTGTATTTAAATATAAATTGGAAAAAATATATTCAAGTTTCATATTCCTCATGTTCTTTTAAATGTTCTTATGATGCACAACGTGATTCTGAAAGTTTTGTAACTTTTATTGCAGTAAATTCATTGTGAATCACATTAGGAATTTACAAATAAGCCTGGTTTTCTAGTATATCTTGAAAATTTAGTTGAATACCTCGAAAATTTTGAAAATTTAGTTGAATGCAAAAGTTTATAAAGTTCAATAAATAATTTAAATTTTTTTTTATGAACTTACTTGCGCTGGGCGAAATTATTGATATTCCATGGAATTCAAGTGAATATTTAAGTTGTGTTTCACCATAATTTGACCAATATTTTGCTATACAAAGTTCAAGAATATTATTTTCCTGTAAAGAAAAAAAATCAAAAAATTCGTATTAAAATCGATAAAAACAACAAATTTTATTATAATCTTTTAGATAAATTAGAAATATGAATTAACGATTTAATGATAATTTTATTTATAATTTTAAATCATAGATACATAATCTACTCAATAGAACATACATATGTAGTTCATAGAATTATAACATGTAAAAGCTTGTAATACTTAATATATCTGAAAAATACGCTGTATCGCTAGCCGATGACAGTTTTAATGCAAAGCGATAGAAAATGTTCTAGTGAACAAACCAAATTAGAAATCATCCTACTTTTTCTCCCTTTCTTTGAACTATGAGTGCTTCAAAATCTCAAAGTTGGGCTTTCAAAAGCGTCCAATTTTTGCTGCTCAGAACATACTTATGTCATATAAAGCAGACATATTGAATAAACTAATTTTTAAACACCAAATTTCATCTTTCAATATTCCGATATTCCCGAGATTTTTCTATAAGTGGTAAATTTGCACTTAAACATGACAATTTAGAAAAATCTTTGGTACTGATAACACGTTGAACTTCGTTATCTTTAAAATTACCTTAGTTAGTTTATTCTACCTATCATATTTTCCTCATTCCTCCATCATATTTCAAATCATTAAGTAAAATGTTCAAAATTTCAAAAACAGTATTAAAAATTTATTCAGTATTAAAAATTCAGTATTAAAAATTTTTAGATCTGAAAACATTCTATCACACTCCTTCGAGAGTACTGTTGCATCTCTTCGTAATGAAGAAATTCCCTTTATTTAGACTTGGAATACTACCTTGTAGCACACCAAATAACGCCATGAATTTTACCATCAAACAAATTTTCATAGAATCTTCAACACATGTATTAGATAAACTAGATGTACACAATTCAGCTTTAATTGCAATGGTTATATAATCCGATTTTATTTAACCTAAGTGTACCTAAATTTATATGATATATTGCATAGGCATGTAAGTTACCCTAATATGTAAAATTCAAATATAAGTTTTAAAAAAGTTTTTTAATTTTTACTTTTATTCATAAAATTTATTTGAATTACGTAAAGTCCAGAAATTATGTACGTTCATTAAATTAATTTTCTAAAACATCAAGGAAAAAACTTTTCAAAAAAGAAATTTCATTTTTAAATAGCTATTTCATTTAGACAAAGGAAGTTTTACTAAAGAAACTAAAATAAAGGAAGTAAATATAAATTTCAACTTTGAGAAATATGTAGGCAAAAATTACTTTAAATAAATAAAATAGATTATCAAAAAAAAGTTCTTTTCAGAAAATATTAACCCTTGTTGACGATATTTAAATTTAGAATACTTACTACATAAAATTAGGAACAGTTGATATTCTACTTAAAGTCAAATAAATTACAACAATGGAAGTGAGCCTGTTCCATTACTCGTGATTTCACACTAATTCTAATTATTTTGGTATAATATTTGCTTACGAGTTTTAGATATAATGGTTGGTTGCAGGTGGACACCGTCATTTCAAGAGTATATATGAAAATAGAATATATTTATTTTAAGAAAAACATTTATTGCAAACCGCTATTCCCTTCAAAATTATCGCCCTCCGAAATTTGTAGAATTTTAATTTTTGACGTCTAACATTTCCAAAACCTTCACATTTGAAGAAAATGCCATTTGCCATGAAACAAAGTAATTATTTGCCTTTCTCCTTTACCTAACCGTCAAATTCGATAATTAATTAATTTAACCTTCTTTAATTTGATATATAAAAGAAGGTAATTTAAATAGCTAATAAATTGTTTGGAAACAAACTATTTAAACTTCTTCAAGAAAAAAGAAGCACTTTAACACCATTGGTTTGATTCAAATTTATTTAACTTTAATGGTAATAAACTTATTTTTGTAACACTTATTTTTCCAAAGTTTTCTAATTTTAAATTTATATTACTCTAAAAATGGAAAACAAATAAGTATAAACCTAACAAAAATGATTGCGAATCAATAATATCAAATTTGATTTTCTAACTAAAAACTTTAATTAGGAACAATACCCAAAGGTTAAATTTAAAATTTTAAATCCATTGAAGTTCTTATATTTAAATTCAAAAATTTATTTAACTTAAAAAACTATTCATAGAAAAGAATTTCGTAACTAAAAAGTAAATACCTAATATTCTTTTAGTAAATTATGTATAATTTTAAATAAAAATTTTACTTTTAGCAGCTCTTTTTATTTTCTAGTCGAAACTTTTATATTAAACTTAACACAACATATATGTATGTACTTATACACCAGTGACGTTTAATCAAAAAGTGCTTTCAAAATGTTTTCCGCAAGTTTTTCGAAATGCGCAAAGATATTTCACATTTTGATACTCTCAAGCTTTTATTGTTTTTTGCGAAAACATTGCATGAAATTATGAAAATTACCTTTAAATACTTTTTTCAAATTTTAAGGACGCTAGTCAGCTTTTACTGGCAATACCTAGAAAAATGTGATTTTGGTTTTGATTAAAATTTCACTTTATAATAAGCCAATATCCTAAACAATGCGTCAATTACTTTCGGCAGCAAACAGAACTCAAACATTATATATCAATATATTCCGTCACTTTATTTCTTAGATATGATAAAAAATGTAAAATCTGCCACCAGTTTGGTTTCCGGTATCTGTTTTAGCACACCGAATTCATATATTTAATTTCAAGGAAAACGATCGCAAAAATGTAAATTTGGCCCATAGTAAACGTCCAGCTGCTAGCACATGATTTCTTCCAAAAATTACATTTATTGTATTGTCAGACGATTCTTATATAGAAATATTCAAGTTAATCTGTTGAATAATTTTTTAAAAACTATCAAAAGTATAAAATCGGCTCGTAGTAAAGATCCAGTTCCTGACCTGACATATCCCAAAACTTTATTAAACCGTGGCATATCCAAAGTAAACTCAGATATCAATTCCCACGGAAATCGATTCAATCGAAATTGAGATACAGATATGCACACACAGACTGACAGACCAACATACATCTCTTTAAAATGCAATGGTCGGTAATTAATGAAACTATCACTATTATGTTATTATAATACTGCTATCATCAATTATTGAAAATAAGCCACGGCGCTGTAATTTACCCTTAAAAATTTACAAATTTATGAAGTTTCCACAAATTTTTGTAAGACATTTGTATGAATTCGCCTTGACCTTCTTTTTTACCTCTTCATTGGCATTGTTAAACAAAGTAACATAATGATGTAATTTAAAACATAAAAAATATATTTTAAATTACATATTTTAAAGAAGAAATTTGTTAAAAAACCTTAAAAAATTTTAAATTTCAGATAGAATAGCTTTTTTGATTTTTTGAAACAAGTTGAGAGATGCTTTAAAATATACATAGTACATTGTTTTACGTACAGCAGGCTAGTCTACACCTACCTAGTTAAAATATCTATGACGCAATGAAAGTGGGGCATGACTATTTATGATAGCATACGCTAGCCCTTTGTTCTTCTAGGAATGAACAAAGCAGAGAAAAAAAACATTTTTTACGACAAATTAAAATAAAAACATTATCTATGTCCTATATACAAACAAAAACTCAATCTTAATAATTCTGCACAAATTCCAAATTCGAAAGCTCCGCCACTGGTGCATATCTCTTGAATTCAAAATTAACTAATTATATTAAAGTAAATTTTGTATTGATGTAAATAGAAAAAGAAATAAGTTCGAAACAAAACAATGCTTTGTAAAGAAGCGCATTTCCCTTATAATAAGTGCTCGAATTATTCAAATGTAATTATTCTCTTTATGTACATTAATTACTATAAACATACATATACTAAATGCAATGAGAGCAAAAAGGGAACATTGAAAATTGACATAACGGTCAAATTAGATTTTTAAATATGACGCAATTTACCATTAGTTGTAGTAGATTCTTACAACTTGCATATTGAAAAGTCCGTGATGACGGACGGACCTAATTATAATAAAAAGCACATTTTCTCAATTTTGTTGGAAGCATCCCAAAGACAAATATTAACAAATTTTATTTTAACAAATTAGCTGTAAACAGAAAAAAGTAAAGTGTTATACGTATTTTTATTAGAATTCATAATAAAATAATATTTCAAACTTACCTCCACTTTAAAAGCGTGTATCGTTTCACTTTCATTTCGAACTGGAAGTAGTTTTTGTGTCTCCAGATGCTTAACATATCTTTGTGAAAGAATTTGCACTGTATGCACATAAAATTTATCTACCTGTTTCTCTTTATTCCCTACTGAACACATTCTTAACACTAAACAATATAAAAAACAAATTTTAATTACATTAATATTTAAAATTATCGTAATTGATTAATGAAAATTTTATTATAATTTAAAAAAAAAATTTATACTCACCAGCCCATGTTGCACGATTTGGCACCAAAATAAAATCCCTTTGTATTGTATTAGGTTTGAATTCTTTTATTCCATTGTATTGTGGATTATTAAAGCAACGAGATACTTCAATATCAACAGTGAAAGGTTGAATAACAGTAACCGGTATTTCAAAAAGTGCTCCTTTTTCTATACAATTTGAATCATAGCCCCGAATCCTTAACAAAAATTTTTATAAATAATCAAATAATATAATTAAGTTAATTTTAAATTAATTAAAAACAAATAAATTGAAAAAGTTATGCGATTGATTATTGTAAAATTTTTGAAGTGGAATGATAAATGATATGCTTGAAAGTTTAATAGTAAACGGCGGTATTCCATTTTAGTTACAATATGAAAACACGAAAAGAGAGTGAATCAAAAAAAGTAGGAATATCAAGGTGAAAATTTTTAGTTTAGCTTTTGGTTTGGTATTCCTAGCACAAATTTCTTGTCAAGTGTGATTATATCAGTGAATAATAACCAAAATTTCTGTTACAAAAATGCTAAATGGCTTTATTTTACTAAGTTTGCTACGATTTAGCCCGTTTAGACTCAAGTAACACTGAGAATAATTTCAAAAATAATTAATATTATAAATGAAAAAAACTTGTGGTACTGCTTAATAAACTTTGAAAACCTTTAGACGTAAACTTGAAAACGACACGTTTCTTAGTTCCAGGGATTCATTCTTCGATTTGATTTTCCGCCAAAACTAGAGTTCAAGCTGACATGGGAAAATTTATTTTCTATGTTCATAATATTATAAATTTAAGTCGATTGTTTGATAAGTTTTGGTTAATTTAATACACCATTCTCTTAATAAAACAAATCCGAATTAAAACTATGTTAATTTTGTTAGCAGATATAGTCAATAACTGCACAGTTCAAACTCTTAAAAATATTAAATAGACAATTTATTTAAAATATGTAATAAACATTGAGAGGGTTAAATTCGCATTTTTTTGCTTAAAAATTACATACTTTCAGTCAACGGTGTCCAGCAAAATTTTCTTTGTCAAATTATTTAAACTTTTTCTTTTTGTTTTTTTATTAATCAGAAGTAAGTTTTTATTTCTTCTAATAAAAACAAAATTATTACAATTTTGTTCGCTATAAAAAATAACTTTATAGTCATCAAACAAAAAATTCTAATTGCTTATACACAAATTATTTTTTATATTCATATCGTGTAAGTTGATTGCATTAATTTTATTTAAGTTTTATAAACAACTTTATTATTTTAGAGCTAAATTATTGATGAACCTTAATTATATTTTAGTTAGAGCCACGAAGAAAAAAATTAATGATTATTAAAAATGTAAGAAAAACCATAACGAAAAGAGTAATATAAAACTGAAAAATGTGTAATACACAAAAAAAGTACGAAAGAAAAAACGAATTTAATTCATAAAATTTTTAAATTTAAGTACTTACTTGGCTGTATGAACACCTGGAAGTAAATTAACTGGATCAATTTCTACATCAAATTTGCGCATTGAGTAACATAAATCTAAAAATTTTGCACATTTAACCCATGGTTCGGAAGCAATCACAGCTATACGGAGATTAAAGCTAATTTTATCTTGTGCGGCTAGAAACAAAAATTATATGATATTAATCAAAGAAGTTTTTTTAACAAAAATTTTTGATGTTCTCTTTAAGATCTTCAAGTGAATGGCATTGAAATAATTTCAGCGAATTTTAGAAGTGAATTTTACTAAGATTGCTGAGATATATTTTACACAACAAAACAAGAAGTTTTAATAAATTAGTTAGTTGTTTTTAATCAATTTTAGTACTTTACATCATGCGCTTTGCAAAAAAGTAAATATTGTAATAAACACTGATTGTAATATTGTTAAATTAACCAGTCTCTTGTCGATCCTTGAAATTTGAAAATCTTAGAATAAGGAAGTTATGAAAGAAATTAAAGGTTGTGATCGAAATTTTTTTCTAAAATTTTCTATTAATGTAATCTGAATATTATAATACAATAATATAGTCGGCTATCATATATCGTGCTACGGTTTTTTTTCATAGTAAGAGCCGTTATTTCGGCCTTTTGAGGCTAAACATTGGAGTTATAAGACCTGAATCCTAAATGAAGTAATTGTAGGTACTTCCAAAAACGTGTTTAGAAATTCTAGTATAACATTAACTTGTTTATTTTAGTACTTTATTAATTATTTTAAAATTGAAGTATCCAAATACATGAGAAATAATATTTTGCATTATTTGGAATACAAAACATATTTATATTCCAAACAATACATGGATTTTGGATTATAGTTGTAACTTGTGTTAACAATAATTATAGGTTTTTCAATTTTTTAACTAAAAATACACATGTACATAGTAAAACAGAATGTTTCTTACCCGTTTCTTTGTCATTTGCAAATACTGGTTCAATTGACATCAAATACTCTACTGATTTTTTGAGTTGACCTCTTCTCAATAGTATGCCTTTTCCTGAAGCACCATTAGTAATTTGAAATCTACCATAAAATATGAACAAAAATAATGAAATAATTAAGATATTGCAATTTTATTAATTCTGAATAACTTAATTTACCTAACCATATTTTCTGATTCGGTTTTATATTGCACCAAATGTTCGAAAGCCTTTTCAACATTAAGCAAACCATTCCCTTGAGCAAACTTATCAACATGGTCTAAATGAGTGGCTGTTATACTAAGAGATCTCTTAATACTATATGACGAATACTTTATATTTTTTTGTTTCAGCCCTGATATTAGTAGAGCTAAAAATTTACAATAATTACTTATACCATTCAATGAAATACTTAAATGTATAACTTATTATTTACAATATGAACAAAATGGTGAACAATATCTTTGATGAAATTATAACAAACTTTTTGAAAAAACTTAGGCAAAATTTAAAAAATAACTTAGAAAATATGCAAAATAAATATTTATCACAAATGGTGTTTAAATTTTTTAACAACTCATTTGTTATGATTTAATTTTTAACTTATTTAGTTAAGTTTGTTCTATAAGTTCGTCTTAAAGAATATTTGAACCTACCAATAGCGCCAGCTACATGTGGAGCGGCCATACTGGTACCATTCATCAACTGAGATTTCATCATGGTAAATTCAGGTACAGATGTAATTGCTGCCCCTGGTGCACATATTGTAACACCTTGACCACCATCAATACAAGGATCACGCGACGTCCATGTGTACACATTAGCTGGTAATTTTTCACGCATTGCATGTTCTGCTTCCATCATTTGTGGAGATACATATGCACCAACACCTTAAGATTATTAAGAATAATAGAATATGAATAATATAGCATAAACAATGGAAGAAACTATGTAGTTATATGTTAAATTATGTTATGCTTGAAATGTTTATGTACATGCTGCACCGTTCCCAAGCATTCCATGTAAAATAAAGATAGATTACAATTTTTTGCTGCAAATATACAGTTTTAAGCTTCAAATATCTATATTTCTCTCTCAAAATATTCTCTTGCTTGAATAACAAGAATTGCAAAAAATTAACACTAAAAAGCTTATGAGAAAAGTATTACTGGGTATTTAATAACCATAAAATATTTTTTAACTCTTTACAAAATTTATTAAGAATAATGTAAATTGAATTTACATTAGGAATTCATTGAATTTTGAGTAGACAGTAAGATATTTACAAACACGGAAAACTTTGGGTATGATACATCCGAACACAAATCCATTTAATCTTTGAATTTAATAATTGAATTTTATAAATTTTATTTTGAATTTAAATAAAATGTTATAAAAGGTGCAATTGCATTTATAAAATAAATTTTATTTTCCAAAAAAAAAAATTGGGAAAAAATGGTTGCCTAATTATTAGTTTCACTCTGTTCCTTGTTCGGCCATACGTCCGTCCGTTATTTCGTCAATATCGTAAAATTATAGCAAGACTTCTCCTCTATTGCTTGTTTCTTTTTAAAAACTTATTTGTTACAATATAGAGGAGAAGTAGATATCTGTTTTATTTGAAATATAAAACTGATAGCGTGTAAGTGGGCGATTTATCCCGTTCTTCAATAAAATATTTTTGAATGTATTTTCTACCTTATTGTTAAATTAATGTATTATTTTAAAAATAATATTTATTGTTTTACAATATTTTAATAAAAAAGTAATTAATAATTAATAAAAAAATTATACGAAAATAACAACAATGCCATGAAATGTAATTTGCAAAAATATAATTAGCACATTCAAAGTCTCACGCAAAAGTAATTTAACAAAAAAGTTTAAAATAACATTAAGCAATTGTTAAATTTCTCTTTTTTTCTCTTTTCGCAAACCGATTTTTATTTTGGTTTTTTTGTAACATAAAAAAAGCATAAAGGTAAAATCTCAAAATTATTTAAACTTCCTATTGATCCTGCAAACATTATTAAAGAGTACAAAAATTAATATCAAAATTTTTGCTATAAAATTAACTTACCGACACATAATGGTTGACTTAAATCCGGTGGTGTACCAATTGTACATAATGCTGGTCCATGGTTTCCAGCCGATGCAACCCATACCACACCATATTTATTAACAACTTCCGCCATTAATTCTCCAATTCGACTGATATAATAAAAAGCAACCCAAAACGAAAAACAAAGAGAACGCCAAAATAATTGACATTTTAGTTAACAGAATATTTAAAATAAATTACTAAAATGGAAATATAATATTTTTGTAATTAATACCACCAAATGTGATAACTTGCAATGGAAAACAATGACCTACTTTGCGAAATAAGTAAAGATATCATAAATTTTTTTTTCTTGTTTTATAAAGCTATGGTAATAAAATTGTGCTCTTGCTTTATGAGGAAGTTTCAAAAATAATACGCTTCTATTAAAAAAAATTAAGTATTTGGATTAAACAACTGAGTTAAGTCAAGAATTAAGTAACTTGAATTTTGAATTAAAAATTATTAACTGTTGAATCAAGGATATTTATTATATGTAATATTATTTATCTATGCAAAAATAGCGAGAATTTCAACTAATTTATTTTTGTCAAAACTTTAAAATTTCACCTTAGTATATCTAAAGTTTGTGTAAGAATATAACAATACAAAAAAAATTAAACTCATTTCCAGGAAAAAAAATTGTAAAATACCAGAAGATCAAAACCAAAATGTAGAAAAATAGTAAGCTTTTCCTAAGTTAGGGAAATGGGGAAGAATATAAGTAACTCTTTGAATTCTTTAATAATGATATTACTAGAGTAGGTTTAGATAATTTATTAAACGACTCCATCAATTTAAAGAATGGGTAAGAAAACCAAGGACAAAAACAGGTTGATTCCTTTTTAGGCGAATCAAAAATTTGGCTAAAACAATTGATGATATAATGTATGTATGTATGTACATAAGCAACAAAAACTTTTATAGACCGCCTACATAAATTAATATAATAAATTTCATATTAAATTATGATATTTCATGATATATATTTCATGAAAAAGGACATTTTAACAAAATGTTGTGCAAGTTGTTCCATTAAGGTATAATAGAAAAAATTGTATGTGCAAGTGCAAAATATGCATTATTTAAAAAGGCTTACCCAGCATTTGACCAGTGTGAGAATTCACCATAACTCATGTTGATAACATCAATTTTTACACCAGAATTACATAGTTCCATAACTTTTGTTATTGCACGTACCAACCCAGTACCAGTTTCCATACTACCAAGACGACCATCACCAATGGTCAATGAAACAATTTTCGCATTCGGTGCTACACCATCTAATTCTTTATTAGAATGATTTCCAGAGGCGATTGAAGCCACATGTGTTCCATGACTGGCTAAAAAACAAAATAACTTATGTTAAAAGTGATTGCAGAAATTTTAAAAGTACAAACTAATATTGTAATACTTTTTTCATTTTTCAAGTTTTTCAAAAGTCAATTTCAATTCAACCCGATTACTTAAATGTTGAATTTGAAAATTATAAAAATTCAATTTATTTTTCTACATTGTTATTTTTTTGTTTAGCTTTAAATATAAATTATTAATAATTACTTTCTTAACACATACAACTATGTATATTTTGCGTATATGTATACATGGATGTATATAATTTTAATTAATGGTATTTGCATAAAATATGCACGCAACCTCATTTTACTTCCCCCTTTTTTTACAAAACTTAATGTATGAGGTCACCTTTAAGAAAAAATTTAAAACACAACAGGAGCCAAACTGAACCTTAATGGATTCATACATTAATCTTTTGAAAAATTTGCGTTTCCTAATTTTCCCTTTAGTAAATTGCATTTATTTGTCGCTGCGACAACTGAATGCACTACGTATGTATGTATAGTATGTTCAATTCAAAATTACAAATACTAAAGAATTTCAAAACACCGGCGAATACGCATATCTATACAATGGAATCAACTTTAGAAATTTAAGACAGAGCGTAACCTTTTCAATACAGTATAATCTAGTAGCTGAGAATACGTTATTAAAAATCGTGAGTGGTTATTGATACTCAAACCTGAATATTTATATTAATATTTTCTATTTATTGTCTCTTTGAAAAAATATTAAGCTATTTAGACAAAAATAATAATATTTTACAACAATAATATCTACCATAAGTTTATTTCGAGTTTAATAGTTTTAACTCTATAAATAAACTTAATTTTTTATCATACTTACTGCATAATCCAACCATTTCCAAAATGTTTCCTTCATCATGAACGTTAATCGAAATAGACATGTATTCGTTTAAATTCTTCAACTCATGGGTTTTCGAGTATTCGCCTATCACAATTGCTTTTTCCAACTCACCCTGCCGATTTTATAAATTTTTTTAATTATTTTATAACTAAATACAAGTAAGTTGAATGCAAAATTTTTGATAATTTAAAAAAAAAAAATAAATGACTATTAAAATTAAAAAACCCAGAGTCTGCAATTTGATTAACCGATTTTCACAATTGCTATAATATACACAAAATTACCTCTTCAGTTGTATCTATGACAGCTTCCCAGCCACGTTCAGTCTGATATAGAACACAGTCATACGTTGTGCGTACTTCCATTACTTTTTTTTCATAAAAATTCAAGCATTCAAGCGATTGATCTAGGTCTTCCTTTTTCAACTTATCATTAAATTTTTGTGCATCTAAAATTAAATGTTAATTAAATTTAAAAGAAATTGTATTATTTTATGATAAAAAGGAACAAACAATTTGAACGAGTTAAAGACAAATTCTATCTATGATTTTACTTAAAAGAGATTCGACTATCCTTAAAAAATTGAAAAAGTGTTAAAATATACATATGTAAAATAAAAACAAAAATGTAAGAGTGTACATTTCATACATTTATAAAAAAAATTACAATTTTTCGAATATTTTAAAATGTAAGTAATTCTTGTGTATACTAACTACCTAATTAAATAACTTTCCAAATATATTAAGTGTATCAGACTTCAACAAAAGCACAGAATATGAAACTTTACATTATTTATATATTCCAAATGCAATTCACTTTTTATAAACTTATTTTAAAATATTAACAATTTTAAGATGAACGATAATATTGCGAAACTTCTCACCGCACTATTACCGTCGATATTAAAATTGTTTCAAAAAATATTATTACTTAAATAGGTTCATCCCCATAATTGAAAGTAAAACTCCGAACTACAAACTTAAATTTTAGGAACATCACTGAATAATTTTGATGGTAATAATTGAAATGCTCTTGAAACAAAATTAATATATCCTGTAGCCTATATCATATTTTGAGCAAGGATTAAATTTTTGATAAATTCTAAAATTTAGAAGTAATAAAAAAAACTCAAACAATTACTGCCAAATCAGTATGTTAGAATTATATAATTTGTACTGCAGAATATTGCGAGTTGAACAAGACGAATATTCCTCGATGAAAAAGACATCAGAGCGGTAACGTAAGTTAAATGACGTCTTTATGATCATTAACTTGTATCTTGGGGTAACGGGGAGTCGAACCGACATAAATTAAGTGTTAGAATGATTATTGTTCAAATATTAAACCCCTCATATGTAAGTGCAAACTTTCTATATAAAATTTTAAATTTCTATTAAGTATGTGTATGAATGAATATTTGTTACATTCAAATGAACACTAGTACCTACGTATAAATCTAAAATGTTTGAATTTGATTTTTCTTCATTTGGGTTAATTTTTTACCACACTCATTTGGCTTTGTCATGCGTGTAGAACTTTTACTTCTAAGAATTTAAAGAAATTCTAAAAACTTTGGAGTAATTTTGAACGGGTTTTACAAAAGGAAACTATAAATGATTTTTGAAAACTTCTTATGAAAGATATAAATTTTGCTTTTTACCTTATAATTTAAAAATATTTAAATATTTACATTTTCATAAAAAATATTCTAATTAAACATTCTAACTTAATAAAGAAAATTACATTATGGTAAAAGTAAAACAATGCAATGTCGATAATATTATTTAACTTATTAAACTAATTTACGAACATTAAACAAAATATAAAACTTTCTATAAACTTCCCTTTTAATTGTATTATTGGAAAATGTTAAATGCAAAAATTATATAGGAACCTAGTATGACTATTTAATAAAAAATCTTTTGGGAGCCCTGTTAAATATATTGAAAAGACAATACTCAATATAAATTCATATTTCTTAAATTTGATTCCTTTAAAATAATCATTAAAAATGCAAAAAAAAACCTACCAGAATTTTGTGTTTCTAAATTTTGTATTTCCCTAAGAGTGTTAGCAACAGCTGTTTTATGAATTGGATCCCATTTTTCAGTTTTGTACTTAGCTTGAACTTTATCGCGGACCCCAGATGGGTATAAATCATACCAACTTTTCATTCCAACATGATATTCATTTCCATTTACATTTCTAGATTTCATTTCAGGACTAATCTGAAAAACATAATTTTAATGCAACTACTAAACTATCATATTTTTGAACATAAATCATTCAAGTTTTGATCACTCACAAGACAAAAAATTTAAAAATCATTAAAAAACATTCGTTATTGAAGTGTATGTATGTATGTACATACATACATTCGTACGAAAATTTTTTAAAATATTTACTATTTGAGAAAATTGCAAATAGAAAGATTTTCCTAATTTTAAAACCTAAATTTTTTCTGTGAACAAAATTTTTTTAAGTATACCTTAAGAGTTCTTCCAGATAAGCCAGTGATAGTGCCATCTGAATTCTCAGTCACTTTTTTTGAACAATCCACATCCCCACATCCTGAACAGTCAAAGCGTTCAATGACTTTGACAGAACCATCATGTACTTCCTGCAGAAGACATTTTTTTTAATTTTTCCATTTTAATATTAAAAAATTGTTTTTAAAGGTTATTTAAAAAAAATATGCACAATCATACCTGAAGTCCGGCAGCTCTAGGGTCAACTCCAGAATCAAATATTGCAATAATAACATCCCGCCCGTCGAAGTCAGGGTATTTTTGCAAAAAATTGGTTATTCCAGTTTCAGCCTTCGGAACCAAAGAGCTTGTGGGAAAAGCAGTTTCAATTACAGAATTAGCCATTTTTTCTTTTTCGAATTTATTTACTATGTTCCTCTTTATATTTGCAAATAACTATGTTGTGTGTATAAATATATATTTGTTAATGTATTTTAATAATATATACTTCAAACTGTCATTTAAAATTGACAGCGATTTTCCAACAAAAAAAAAAAAAAAAAAATTCGAGTCTCGAATATTAAGATAGGTATGTACTTATATTTATTTTAAATATTCAGAATATTTTGATTGTGTCATAGTTCTCGAGTCAAAATTTCTTTTATTAATTTTGTAATACTACTTTGTGTTTTATTTTTGCCAATTATTCATTAAAATCAAAACGCAAGTTAAAAATATGGTTACAATTTGATTAAATTTAATTATAGTTTAGCAGTGGGGAAAGAACGGTAATGAAGCTGAAAAGCAATTGCATTGTGAAAAATATAGGAGCTATTTAAACATTTTTGGGTTTTTTGTTACACACTTTAGTAGTTTGTTTAGTAGAAATCGGAGCATGACATTATATAGGCTCAAAAATAATTGAAGTATGAGCAAATTGTTTTTGGAGTTAGTTGACAGCTATTCAAATGCAACCGTAGCTAAATGTCGTCGTACTAATATTTCTGCTACCATACATGTTTATGCGAAAATTGAGTATTGCTGTTTTTGTAGATTCCGAGATATGATCAAATTATTTGTAAAATTTTATGGCAGCTATTGCAAAACCATATAGGCTTGCAATTGTGAAATTTGCCATATCTGTCCGTTTGTTAAATCGATTCAGAACTCACCAGTGAATAATATAGAAATTTATGTCTATATATCTCCCGAGTCTATTTCTTAGCTTGAGGTTATTTCTTATAAATTTGTAATACTAGCATGAAAAATAAATAATAATATTTTAAAAAAAGAAGTTGTATAATTAAATAGTCTGCACGAATCCCTTGGTGTATATACAAATCTTCTTAGATTCTGTGACAATCAACCTTATATCCATTACTTATAATTTTAAATTTATTGTTTTCTAATAAAAACTTAAATTAACTTACACATTGTTAAAAACTCGTCTTAAGCTCTTGACTGGTCACGTGGTTGACGGTCACTTCCCGCAAAATATTATTATTGTGAATGAGTTGTTTATGGCTTAAAAAAAGTTTGGCAGCTGTTTAGTTGACATTTAATTTTTTATTTGTTTTTTCAACTGTCACGATCTTAGTTGAGAATTTCCCACTTACTACATTCAGTAAATCGTTTTATTTTTGACCAAATAAAAAGAAGTACCGAAGGATGTGGTTTGAAATCTTACCTTCAGCAGCTATTATAACAGTTGCTCTTTCAATTCCCACATTTGCCTTGTATGGTATAAACAAATTAGTTTTGGGAAATGTAAGTAAAATAGCAGATAATAATTAGATTTCTTACATAATTTTTAGGATGTGTATATACATAATATGCTATGTAAAGAAGAGTGAGGAGTTTAAAAAGCAAAATAAAACATACAATAGCTATGCAATTTATTTAGCTCATAAACATTATTTGTTTTGTGTACGATGAATGAAATTTTTAAAATAAAATTTTTCATTGTAGGGTTACCGTAGAAATATGGACGAACGTTTTGCTCGAGTAATGTATCAAAGAGACGTTAGATTGACTGTGAATCCATACATCCAAAATGTAAATAAAAATTTCTTACCTTTAATTAAAAATTCTAATTTAATATTTTTAGGGATTGGAGGCTATTCCAGATAAATAAATTAAAAACATTATAAATATCTAGTAAAGTTTATGAAGTTAAATAAATATAATAATTAATTTGTAAAGTTTTATTTGACATTTTGAAAATTGTTACAAAAGTAAGTAGGTTTAGTGTACAAGCATATAAGTAGTAAGTAAAACATCTATCCATTTTGCAAAACTAATTTTTTGAACAAAGCACTTTGTATTATTCCATATCTCAAATCAGCAAATACAAATAACAAAGAAGAACGGTGCTACTGAAATTTAAAAATTTCTGAAGATGGCGAACAACGAGGAAACATTACGCTAGAATCGGTTTATAGTCATTTCTATTGATAATTCAATAATAGTCAAAAATTTCTATATCCTTTTTATTATCTTTTATTATATATATATTTATTTGGATCAAAAAAATTGGTAAAGCTTGTAATTTCAAAAAACTTAGCTACCGTAAATTCAAATTTTACTATCCTGAGAAACTATAACTTTAGCAGGGGATTTTTAAACAATTTTTTTTAAATAAATGAATTATTTAATCATTTCTAGATTTTCCTAAAAGAACTTCTTTCATTTAGATGCCCTAGAGATTTCAAACCTTTACAAATTTTCTTCTGGAAGAAAAACTATTTTACAAAATGTAAAAAAGCACCCCAGAGTTGGATTACAAAATTTCTATGTTCTACAAGCCAGAAAAATTTGCTCTTCAATCGCAAAAAAGAAAAACGGTCAAAACTTTTAACATCGTTTTTCCTCTTGAACAATAAATTGTGAAATTTTTTTTTTCCGTTTGCAGATACATATTAATAAAATTGTGTTCCCGAAACCAATTTTTTTTTTCCATTTTCTTCCCCATCCAACTTATTTCCTTGAAAAATTAATAAGTTGGATTCCTTTTCCATTTTGGTTGGATTCTCGACTCTTCATTTTTTCGAAACTTTAAGCTCTTCCAAATTTGTGAAAAAACAAAAAATTAATGTTAAAAATATTTCCATTAAAAATTTCGACTTACTATGGGGTTTTTGTTTATGCACGCTGCGCTGAATGTTCTGCATTAGAACTAAAACTCCTAAGTCGCAGCGTTAAACAGTATGCAAAAACTTTAGCTAGGCTTTTTTGTTTAAGCAGTCTACAAATTCTGAAACTTCTAATTAGTCGTTTGAAAATAACAGAAATGACATTGTTTACGAAATTGTATCCCAATACCTTTCGCCTTCCAATTAACTGTAAAATAAGGAAATTTTAACAAGATTTGAAGACTTACTAAGCAATGTAACCAGAGCATCAGAAATATATCTGATCTATAATTGGACACACGAGTGCCAAGTTTTATAAATCTAGCATTATTATTTTTCCGAATGTATAAAATTTGCTTTTGGAGTTGTAGTGCAGCCATCTTATTAAAACTTTTATACGAAATTTCATATTTATACCTTTATTAGTTTTTGAAACATTAAAAATAAACTGTCTGAGTTGTATGGCAGCTATGTGAAATCGTTATGCGAATTGGTCCAATTTGGAATTTTTGACGCTGATCAAGAATATAATATGTATATATGCCCATACCGCAGATGGCTTCTTCAAGTGGCTACAAACTCCATACCAAAGTTAGTATACTCTTAACGAAGGTGCAGGATAAAGAAAGGTATATGAATGTTAAACTCGATAGTAAAACTTCGAAAATTACTATATGTATGTATGTACAATTTTTATTGTACATACATATAGTAAATTTGTTACTGCCCTTAGAACTTAAAACGAAAGCTGAATAAGAAAAGAAAATTAAATTTTTGAAATTATTTGAGAGTATCTATTAAGGTAACCCTAAGATACATACATATGTATTTCCAAATACGTCTCAATGCAAGTTTCTACGTTTGAAGGCACACTTTTAGGAACTATAGAGAATAAAAGTAAATTAGGTGGAGATTTACACGCCATTTATTTATAACATTGATATACATTTTATATGTATATTTATTTTATATCCATTTATATACATACATATATGCACTAAAATGATATAATTATACATACATATATTTAAAGCTGCTACATACATACATTTATATTATGTATATAATATAAGTATATATAAATTTAATTTTTGATTATATAATTATTATAGAAATTTTATTATTTCTCTATTTCTTTTTTTTTCTGTTAAATAAAATTTACAATTACATTTTTATCACCTTTTAATTATTATGTGTATATTATTTTCTAAATTATTTAGTTAGTTATCTTTATATCTTTATTATATTATTTATAATATAGATTGCACATTATTATTTAGATATCTTTATTGTATCATATTATGTACAATTGTTTAAGTAAATTTAGGTAAACTGGTTTTCATGCTTAACAGTTTTAAATTTGCAAAAATTTTTGTTTTGAATTATATTGTTTAAGACTTTAATTTCTTCTTTAAAAGCGCTAGAATTTAGTGCTTTTATTAAAATAAAAATTTAGAGTCGTTTTGGTTTTACTGCGGAAAAACAAAAATAGTATAAAAAGTTTTCAGGAAAGTTATTCGAATTTATTTTTGAAACAAAACACAAAAGGAAAAGTATAAGAGAAAAAATGTTTGTTTGTTATAAGTATATGTATATAAAAGGGTCTTACGCGACGGACTTTTATTACAACTTACAAGTTGCTAAAAAAATTTCCAGCAAAAATTTTACAACAAAAAAAATGGTAAACTTGTACTAGGTTTAAACTTTAAAATTAAATATTCAATTGTACAATTGTAGCAGTACAATTTGAGTTTCTAATACAACTTGGATTGCACTCCTATACAAAAGCATAGTCGAAAATTGAAAGAATATGTATGTATGTATATGTATATTAACCTAAGTAAAACATCCAACGCTTTCAAAGTGACCCAAAAAAACATGGCAAATTATAAAAAAAAATCTAGAATTTATTAGAAATATAGCTTTTAAAGAGATTTTTTAATAATTAATAGAACATAGAATTTATGAGAGCATATTTCGTTTTAGTAATGGCAGCTTAAACACAAAAATTTTGTCAAAATTTGTATAAAGCAGCGTTTTATTTTAATATTTTTTTTTTGTTTTAGTGACAATTTAAACAAATTTTCTTGTAATTAATTTTCTCTTACATTACACAATTTGCTAACTTTTTAAAATGTTGCAATATGCTGTGTATTATTGGTTTTTAAATTATTTAATTTTTCGATTGCCTTAATACCAAAAACGGATGCTCTGGTACCCTCAAACATGCTAGAAATTAAGATGAGCAAATAAATTAAAAATGAAGTTTTAATGAAATTGAGAATGTACAATTAATTATAATTAAACACGAAATTTAGGTATGAGATTAAAATTTTTGCAATTTTAAATATTTTATATATGTATATATGTAATTATATTTTATAACTTTACCATTTTCCAAATTATACGCATATATTTAATTATTTTTTAACTAATAACATTATGTTGCATAATTTTATGATTTTATATGGAAGTTCTTTTTCAATTATTTTTATAAATAATATATATTAGTATATTTTTATGTATATAGTAAATTTTTATTCATTTTTGAAACGTTTGTCTAAAACAGTTATACACATTCAACATTAAACTTTTAACCAGTTTTTGTTTTCATAATTTTTGCTGTATAAGAATAATATTTGATTTAATTTAATATTTTTTTAAATGTGATACATATTGTTATATAATACATATCTATATGTATAAATATATATATAACATGTATTACTTAGTATAAACTTTTTCTTTATTTTGTTTATTTCTTTTAGTACTAATAATATATTTTTTTTGTTTTAAAAATCATCTAAAAATTAATTGTAAAATTCTCTTTTTTAATTATTTTATATAATAATGATATGGTGTCTCTATATAGAACATTTTTTTTTGTTGTATATAATATCTAAGTATTTTAATTCTACATAATTAATTTATTTTATTTTCTTTTAATTTAATTTATTTATTTAGTTTCTAATTTTAACTGAAATGATTGATTTTTAATTTTGTTCTATATAATATTATTTATATATGGATATACTTATACAAGTTTATTTATATACGTATGCATGTGCTCATTGTGATCGTATACACACAAACATATATATATAATATATAATATATGTATATGTATATTCATTTATTGTATACAAAAGAATGTGAATATATTCTGGATCAGATATGTATTTAGTTATTAGTCTTATAATATGTATTTAATTTTTCTAGTATAATGCAAATTAATTTTGAAGGGCATGATCGTGCATCTAATTTTTATTTTATCCGTCATGTGTTCAGATATTGAGTTACTATCAAATATTTGTATAATGTGATTTTCGAGCGAGAGCCATTTTCTCGTATTTTATATCTCATTTTTTTCTAAAATTACACAAAGTTCAATTATTATTGGTTTAATTTGTTTTTGCAGGTGATAGGTTGACTCTAGAAGAGAAACAACATCAAAAATTTAGAAAAAACGGATTTTAGATAACGGTAAATTTGAACGGCCATTTTGTTTTTCTAAAGTTTAACTATATGCCACGATAGCAGAAGCAAAACACTGCCTTTCTGCGTTTGAAAAATTTAAAAAATGCTTATGGTTTCACTGCAACAAATAGTTAAAAAATGGCATAGGATTTTGGGAATATAACTTCGAGATGAGGGGAGATAGGTAAAAATTATGTTCTACGAAAATTAGTTTCTGGCAAAGATCTATGTACATATAATTTCAGTTTTCTATCTTCAAGGGTATAGAAGTTTTGTAAACATTAGCTAATAAAATAAACTAATAAGCACTTTTTTTCAAAAATTTTTTGAAAAAGCGCTAAAAATGAGTAATCTTAGTGGAAAAAGGGCATGTCCGAAAAATTATTATTTAAAAGTGAATAAAAAACGAGGCGAAAAAAGCGATTTTGGCAAAATTGTTATGTCAATTATGATTATTTTTCATTTTTATGAAATTCAAATTTCTTTAAATTATGACGGTGGTATATGGCTCCTAACTTGTAGCTGAAACTTGGTATAAATATATACACAGGGTGATTCTGGAAGTTATAAAACAACATATACCATTGGCTAGA